CTCAATGTAGTTCGCTGAGTAATTTATGGTAAGTTTTGCTTACAAGTACTAGTAAGGAAACTGATAACTAAGATGGTCCTTGCAGGGTCAGAGTGTTATAATTAAGAGTCATAACAGAAAGAGTACTGAGGGGCAGTCTGGTGGGGGCAGCCTCCCCAGGACAACATGCCTCTCACTAGGCCCTCCTTCACCCCCTTCCAGAAGAGGAGCAGCGGGAACACCAGAAGCACCTGGTGCAGAGCCCCAGTTCCCACTTCATGCCTGTGACACGCCCAGGACGCTATAAAACCACCACTTGTTGGCCCTGTACAAAAGGCCGTTTCCTGTGGAGGCTGTTCACTGTCCTCTGTCGGTCAACAGGAGGAAAAGCAAGGCTGACAGAAGGATGCTCTTTCAGAAGCAAGCAGCACTGGAAGCACTCCGAATCAAGATGAGTAGGGAACCAGCCCAAGGAACACATTTTGGATAAAAAATAAAGTACTTAAGGGCAAAACTGTTGCCGTGCCAAGCAAGTGGCTCGAAATAATGTCCCCCCTGATCTTGCTATGTTGGAATCTCTCAGATTTTTTCCATCATTGTTTTACACTCTCACTATGTGACCTTGAACACATTCCTTAGCGCCTCCCCCCCCCTCTCTCTCTCATTTTTATCTTACAATGGGGAATATTAATAGTACCTATTTCTTGGCAGTGTTATATGAATTCATCAAAGTAATGTTTACAACACTTTTAGAAAAGTGCCTAGAATATGGTGTTAACAAAAGTGTTGTTTAATAAATTAATGAATAAATAAGATAGCCCTTGCTCACACCAAAGTCATTCAATGCAACAATAGACCCCTTGATGATATCGCATGGCAAAAACACAGAAAATAATGCTCAGGGAGGGAGCCTCAGGCATGGCAGGGCATTGAAGGAGAAGAAGAAACAGAAAGTTTTCATGAGAAATAAAAGTGAATGTGATGGGAAACTCCCATATTATTGGAGGAAATGTAAAATGACGCAGCCCTTTGGAAAACAGTTTAGCAGTACCTGAAAAAGTTAAACACAGAGTTACCATATGACCCAGCAATTCCACTCTTAGGTCTATACCCCAAATGTTCATTAGCTTATGAGTGAATAAACAAATGTGGTCTATCCTTATAATAGACTATTATCCCATCATACAGGAGAACAAAGTGCTGATAAATGGTGCAACGTGGATGAACCTGGAAACATTATACTGAGTGAAAGAAACCAGACACAGAAGGTCCCATGTCCCAGGATTCTACTCATAGGGGACTACCCAGCATTGGTAAACGCATAGCCACTGAAGGCAGGTTGGTGGCTGTTCAGAGCTGGGTAATTGGAGAGTAACTGCTTAATGGGCGGAGGGGTTTTTTTTCTGGTGGTAAACATGTTTGGAACTAGAGAGTGGCAGTGGTTGCACAAGTTTGTGAATGTACTAAATGCCATTGAAGTGTTCAGTTTATAAGGGTTCATTTTATGTTTTGGGTTCATAAAAAATCATACATACGTAAGTGGGACCAGAGTGAGTGCTGTGTTTGTCCCAGTTGAGAATACAGAACATTCCAGACTCCTCTTCCACTCACCAGAAACCTTATTTGAGAAAGTTATCTAATGGGCATCCCTTCTGGGCCCTGGTTTCCATATCTGTAAGAAAATGAAAGTGGACTAGGTGATTACGAGGAGCCCTTTCATTTCAAATTCTAAGGCAGAGAAATTCAACACCCCTCTTTCCTCCCTGTCTCATCCACATGCTTGGAAACAACTGCATCTGTACTGCAGATGTATACTAGAAGACAATGAATGTTGTTGTAATTAAATTACAGGGAAATTAATTTGTTTTAGTTATTCGTTGTAATATTAGTTATTACAATGACACAAATTAATGGGCAAATAACTGAAACAAATGCACGTTAGCAATGAGCTTGGAGTTTGCCACTGTGATACTTAGGCTCGGAGCCCGTGCACGGCTCCAGCCTGTCTGTGCCCTCCATGTAAGCACACACTGTGCTTTTGCCAGTCACAGTATCTCAAGCTCTCCAGCCAAGTGCAGTGCTGGCAGAATCACGTTGATTGGGAGGCCCTTGATTGATTAATTGATGCCCTTGCCAAGCAGGATGGTGACGAGGGATTAAATACCCTTCTGAATGGCCCACTCTTTGCAGCCAAGTAATCTAGAACAGCTCGAGGCCATCAATCATTAGAACATGCCATAGACCACTGCTCTAATTACCACTAGACTAGTTAGAACTTTACTCTAAAATTATTGAAATGTTATTTGAATAGTAAGCCAAATTTACCCAGTCCTGGGACTTAAAGTCTGGGAGGTGGGTATGTAATTGTCTGCATAGTACCCATCACAGCATGAGTCCACAAGTTGTTGAGGACAGGCCATTGTGAACATCACTAATTCATGGAGTTGCTAGGAGTCAGAGCCGTCTCAATGGCGCATGGCACACACACCTCCACCAGGTTACTGGTCTTCTGTAAATTCCTTCCTAATGATTCCTAGGAGTCTCAGGTGCATCTACATTGACTTCAGCTGGAAACATTTCAGCCTTCTACCAAGGTTTATCAGTCACCCCCATCCCTTAAATTCTGGTTTCTTCAGGGATATCTACTTTGGAGGTCTACAACAGTCCCCAAAGGTGCACCAACCGGAAGCCACAGTCTATCCAGGCCCACATTATTAGACAACTATTGGCTGCTAATTTCAGGAGGTCCAAGCATGTGGGCTCCAGGCCTCATGGAGCAGCTGAGAGAATTTAGACAGTGCCTTGAGGCTGGCCAAGTCAAGCCTCCTAAAAGGTCATACCAACGGTGCCAATAACTTACCCTCTTGGCTGAGAGCCTCTCTCAATATAACTGGAAGTTCCACCAGTTTCCCATTGACTACTCTTCTTGAACGTTCCTTCTATCTACTTCTTTCCATCACGGAGCAGCAGCGTCTCTTTCCTCTTCCACTCTTTGTTCTTGGCCTGGACTTCATTCCGTTCCTCCTTTCATATTTCTCTTCTCACATGCAGAGAGGAGAAGGCTATAGGAAGGAGAATAAAAGTGAAAAAGCTGGCCGAAACCTGTTTGGCTCAGTGGATAGAGCGTCGGCCTCCGGACTGAAAGGTCCCAGGTTTGATTCCGGTCAAGGGCATGTACCTGGGTTGCGGGCACATCCCCAGTGGGGAGTGTGCAGGAGGCAGCTGATCGATGTTTCTCTCTCATCGATGTTTCTAACTCTCTATCTCTCTCCTTTCCTCTCTGTAAAAAATCAATAAAATATATTTTTAAAAAAAGTGAAAAAGCTGGAGGGGATTGTGTACAAATTAAGCAATGCCTGTAAACCCTGTACATCCTTCTATTCAACTTAGATGAAGAACCTGAGTGCAAATTAATGTAAAATTAAAAATATGAAAATAGCTTTGCATCCAACTTATGAATCTTGTTTTCCTGATTTCGATCTCTGGTGTTCATTAGGAAATAAATAAGATAAAAAACCCATAAAGCAGTCAGCTTATCTTTGGGTAACTAAATACTCTTCTGGTGATATTCCTCATTCCCTTCCTGTAGGGGAAGTGAGATGAGAACATAGTCTATCTTTTGGGCGATATACCTAAACTGGCTGTTACCAAGCATGTGATTAATTTTGAAGGCTGACTTTCAGAACACCATATTTGAGTAAACTTGAAAGATAAGTCAATGAAAACATCCAGCAAAGCAAAATAGGTATTTTCCCGTTTCAATCAGATATCAGATATGACCCAGCAGTTCTTCATTGTGCATTCAACACAGAGGGTCTTGAATACAGTAGAGGTTAGAGAAATGTTTGTTAATTTTAGTTAAAATGGAATTTCTCTCAGTCGCTCGGTGGCTTGAACTTCCTGGCTTGAGGAAAAGGGAATAAGGAAAGGCCTCATGATGGTAAAGCTAGAAAGAGATCACTACTTAACATACTGATAATTTGTTCCTGGGTTTATTACTTTGTTCAAAAGCCTGTGAGGTGAGCAGCCAGAATGTGGCAGTAAACTGTGCTATTAATTCCATTTATATTTTCAGAGCTGGGAGTCAGGTTTTCAAGTTTGTTCTTGGACTTTATGCAAAACATATGCAAATCTATAGCATTCTAAAATCCCGTCTCTTTGCCAGCCCCTCCCCTAGTCACAAACAGCCAGGACTGCGGAGTGGTGGACCCCCGCGGCGGGGGTGGTGGGCGGGGATGGGGGAGAGTGGGGGAAGGGCTGTCCGCGAGGCGGCCCAGGGGCGGAGCCTGGGCGGGGCCGGTGACGCGCCGAGTTGGCCGGCTGCGGGGCTGGACCTCAGCCTTTCCCCGCCTGGGGCCGCCGCCGCACCATTGGTTGTTCGGCGTCTCCAAAAGGGGCCCTTGGACTCCTCACTGGGTCAGTCTGGTGCTGGGTCGTGGAACTCCCCACAACTCCCGCTGGTCCGGAACTGGATCCCTTCTTCCCAGAGTTGCGGGCAACTTTCCCGTCTCCCTGGCGCTGCAGTGGCTCGGGGACCCGGGCAGCCGCTGGTAGCTGAACCCAGGGCCACGCTACCCGCGCCCGGCTGAGCCCGCACGTTGGTCTGGTCTCTCTCTCGGTGCACGCTGGGGGTCCCGGAGCTCCGCTCTGCCGGGGAGATGCCTCTGGGACACATCATGAGGCTGGATCTGGAGAAAATCGCCCTGGAGTACATCGTGCCCTGTCTGCACGAAGTCGGCTTCTGCTACCTGGACAACTTCCTTGGCGAGGTGGTGGGCGACTGCGTCCTGGAGCGCGTCAAGCAGCTGCACAGCAACGGAGTCCTGCGGGACGGCCAGCTGGCCGGGCCGCGCGCAGGCATCTCCAAGCGGCACCTGAGGGGCGACCAGATCACGTGGATCGGGGGCAATGAGGAGGGCTGCGAAGCCATCAGCTTCCTCCTGTCCCTCATCGACAGGCTGGTCCTGTACTGCGGGAGCCGGCTGGGCAAATACTACGTCAAGGAGCGGTCCAAGGTAGGACGCGCGCGGGCGCCCAACCACTGCTGCAGCCCGCAGGGACCGGAGACGTGCGGAGTCTGTTGTCTGTCGCCTTCGCAGGGCTACAAGCGAACTTTAGGTTTTAACCAAGAAGCAAGAAAGAAGTCAGTCTGGTCTTCCCATCCCCCAGGGAAAACCCATGCTAAGGGACTTAGGTGTATCATTATAATGACCTTCTGATAACTTGGAAATAATGGCTCTGGTGGGTGGTACAAGCCGGACAAGCTGTGGCTCTTTGGTCTGATTTTAAGACGTGGGGGTTCTCAAAAGTCCATACGAGGGACAGGTTGTTAGGAAGATTGTGTATGATCCGAGACACACATGGACTCGTGATTTTAACTGTCTACTTTAAAGTCACCTAATATTTGCCCTTCATTGATTTCAAAGGGGATTCCCATGACCGCACTTTTAAAGAATGCTGGAGACAGCTGTGATTTTGCAATGTGGCATTTGGTTCGTGGAGTTTGGCAGGTGTGGGAAGAGTTTGCCCTGTGAAAGAGTAAAGCTCCTCTTCACTTTGGAGTGCTGCCCTTGGCTTGTTGCACTCAGGACACTTAGATCATCTGTTTGACTGAAAATTCTCTCCCGGTGCTGAGCCCACACCATACCTTCTCTTTCCTAACTTTCAGGTGACGGGGAAATCTACTCAAAACCACCGGTTATGCCCTAACCAGTTTGGCTCAGTGGATAAGAGCGTGGGCCTGCGGACTGAAGGGTCCCAGGTTCCATTCTGGTCAAGGGCATATACCTTGGTTGGGGGAACATCCCCAGTAGGGTGTGTGCAGGAGGCAGCTGATTGATGTTTCAAACTCTCTATCCCTCTCCCTTTCTCTCTGTAAAAAATCAATAAAATATATATATTTTTAAAAAGACACCGGTTATGTGATCAGAATAGGGTAGTCAAGTACCTCTGGAAAGAAATTATGTTTTCGTTCACAGCCAGAAGTGACTCCCTGGGTAGAAATTTATCTTGGAAACATTTAGAGATAGGCTGGCAGAAATGTGGGAACATGTCGTGCCATGTACATTCATTTGGGGTAGTCTAGCCACTCAGTCTTTTCTACAAATGACGATCCAGCCTGCTTTCCAGTGGCAGTTCTGAGAGAGATTTGCATTTCTTTTATTGTGGACTGGTCAAGGGGCACTCAGAACTGTAGAAAACTTGCACTTTAACACAGCGAGGCTACACATACCAGCGTGAGAAAGAAGGTGAACATTCACCTCTGTACCATTCTTTAACCACATAGGTAGTATTTCTCAATTTAAGATTCATCCTCTGATAACATACCTTGTTGTCTCATTTATTCCATAAGCTGAGAGGAGCACTCTTAATATAGTGCAAGTAGTGAAGATTGGAAATGTATAGAAATGAAGGGGTTGGAGTGGGTGAATGGAGTAGAGGAGGAGTAGATTGCTTTCAAACTAGGGGGACATGAATAGAATATCAGAAGGCATTGTTATTAATCTGACACAAAAAGTAAATCTTAGAAGAAAATGCTGCTTTCTTTTACTTTGATTTGGGGAAAATTCAGAGTTAGCAGGAACCAGTAGAAGATTGATGTTATTGTTTCTCTACTCTTCCATCGTTTGGGTGGTGGATGAGAAAGTTGTTTGTCTTGATCAGTGTTATATTTGCACCTTGCCCGGCTGGGGCCCGTGGGGGAGGGGAGGGGAGGGAAATGGCTAGTTTCAGTATTGCAGAGGTGCTTGTAGCTTCAACTTGGAAGAGCAAATGGCTTCTTACCAGTTTTTAAAACTTTTAAACTTAGGCTGAGGAATCCTCCCCTCCCCCCACCTCCCTGGGCATTCTAGGAACAGAATTCTCTCTGAAGGAGGTCAGAATTAATTGGCAGAAAGAGGTCACTAACATGTTTGAATGTTAAGTGTTTTTATTTAGCTTTGACTTAATGAACAGTGGTAGGGTTTTAGGATAGAATTTAACTCCACAAAGGGAATGAAAAGCACTGTGTATGTCTGGCTAAGGACAACAAGATTTATAGATATGATTTTTCAATTATGGATTATCTTCTGAGTAGAACAAATAACTTTTCAGTTAACCCTTTCAGTTAACAGAACATGACTACGAATTGAAAAGAGGAGATACATTTGTTGTCCATGGAAGAGACATCTGTCTGCCCATACCTAGATGTCCAACTCTCCTTTGGCTATTTTGGCACAAAACTCTTCACTCCTTCCCTTTAGAAAAATCACCTCTAGATTGGGATATTCCTGACCAATGAGAACCAAATGCAAACCAGGTTTGAGCAAACAGTTGTTATAGTAAATTTTTTTAAAGTTTGATTTGCTTGTATAAAGAAGTCTCTTTAGTAATGTCTGTGGCCTTGGGTCTCTTGTTTGAAGTTCATTATTAAAGCATTGTAGAAAAACACATTGCATTTCTACATGATTTACATTCGTTTCACCTTAATTTAACCTATTTACTTCTCTTCCTTCAACTGAGTACCTTACCTTTCTGCTTCCCAGAGTAATGATATAGACCCAGTTTTTTCATACCCAGTTTTAGAAAAACTGAATTTTTAAAAAGCAGAACATGTAAATTTATTTTAAAATTTTATTTGTAACTTTTTATGAAAAATTTCAAACATATGAATTTAGAGAGGCTAGTATAAGAACTCCCATCCCCCATTTTCAACATTTGCCAATGCATACATTTATTTTAGACCAATTCTTTTTCAGGTACTTTAAATTTCTGTGCTTATTAGTGTATTGACTCTAATTAAGTACTTTTTCCCCTGGATTTTTAAAGGTCATTGAATAATGTAATAATGCCCTTTATCTCAATGACGCAATAGCAAAGGCATTGGTAATAAAATAGGAATATATACTGGAATTGAAATGGAAATTGTGGAAGAATATGGAAATAAATATTCAAGGGTTCCCGCTTCCCTGCCAAAAAGGTTATTACAGGTCAGAATTTATCTACCTCCACTTTGTTGGAGAAAAGTCCTAGGGTGGTGAAGACTCTGGGCCAGTGGTTTCCTAAAATGTAGTACAGCGGTATGGCGCCCCCTAACTGCAAGCATGATCATTGCTTCCAGGCTATCAAAAGATTTATCTGTTACTTCCTTTTGGAGACTTTAGACTATATCCAAGATAAATATTGGTTATAAATTGCTCCTTTTGTTTTGGCTGCCTAGAAATGGCTGTTTTCTGTAACTTATAGAACCGAATGTTCTGCTTGAAGCATCTCATTATAGACTCACTAGTGAGTAACTAATAACTACATTTTAATGAGCAGTTTGCTCTGTCTGGCATTGTACTAATAAGCACTTTAAAAACACTGTCTGTCTGACTTAGTCTTCAAAACCACAATCTTCAGCAAATTGAGTGATTAAATCATTTACCAAAGGTCACAAAGTCAGTGTTAAGAAGCAGTGTATCATAAAAGTTAGGACAAACTCACAGATACAGACAGTAGCATGGGAATTACCAAAGAGGAAGGGGATTAGGAGGAGGTAGAAGAGGGTAAAAGGAAGGAGATTTGACCTACGTTGGTAAACAGCACAATTTACAGATGATGCATTACAGAACTGTACACCTGAAACCTATATAATTTTATTAACCAATGTCACCCCAATAAAGTTAACAAAAAATTAAAATAAATAAAAGTTAGGAGCTTATGCCGGGGGTTACTGTAGGTAAGTTGCTCAATTTTCACCAAGTGTAAAATGAGGGATAATAATTCTTTAAAGCTTTTCAGGGGGCGGAGCATTAGATAAGATAATGTACATAAAATTCTTAGCAGGATTCTAAGCCTTCATAAATGTTATAGGCTGTCAGTGGAAGACTTGGGATTCTAACCCAGTTCTGTCTGACTCCAGAGTTTGTGTTCTTGACTATGATGCTCCTAGTTTTCATCCTTTCATTTATTCAGCAAGTGCTCACTCAGCGTGGGATACTGCGCCAGGCTTGAGGTACAAAGGTGAGCAGGCATAATCCCTGCCTCATGGGGCTTAACATTCACTTATGCATTTGAATGCAGGATCCTCTAGTTCACACTTGATTAATTCTCAAGCCTAAAAAAGAAAAAAGACAAAGCCCAAACATTGTAGTGGGTCAGCTACATACATTTGAGGAAGAAAATGGAGGCCTGTGCTAATGCTTCCCTACTGTTACTGGCAGGGAGAGTTTGTTAACAAGGTTGCTTGCTAGGACCCCTGACTAGAGGAGTTCTGGCCATGGGGATATGTGGGTTGTATTGTGCACAGACAGATCAGTCCTCCCGTGGAAACAATGCAGAGAAGTGATGAAACAGCAATAAGTTATGAATAAAAGAAAAAGTGTTGTGAAGTGGTGGGCTTGTTCCTTTGCTATTTTGCAATAAAGTTTGGCCTACCCTTCTCATGTGATGTCAGGAGTATCCCTTACTCAGTGGAGTTTTTCATGGTTGCAAACTGCTTTAAGCAAAAATGGGATAATATATGTTGAAGATTAGGCTCTCTCTCAGGAGCCAAGTGCAGGAAATGCAGTCATGGTTCACAGAAGAGTGGGTGGAGCCATGAACTATGAACCAGCAAGTCCTAACTACCCAGGGCAGCTTGGGTGTTAGTTCTTTTCTCTGGCGCTTGATGGCCTCCATCTTTGCTTCTCTGCTCGTGCCCTTCATTTCTCCCTCGCTCTCCGTTCCGTCCAGCTTTTTCTGCTTTTCCATGCAGGTGGCTCAAAACGGCGCCCTCCCCCACAGAGGCCACCTCAGCCTCAGTCTGAGATCAGCAAACACTTGACCAACATTCTGGAATCTCCTTTTCATCAGCCTTGGTTGGGGAAGTAGAGGGGCATGTGAAATCATAGATCATAACTATGGTTGTCTGGACCCCTGAGAAGTGCAGTGCTTAAAGCATGGGGCTTGAGGACTAGATCCAGAAACGGTGTCTGTAATTAAAAATCTGAAAAATCTGTCTGAGCTATTTTAGGGGGAGGAGGCACTGAGTTTGAAAGACTGGAACATTTTTCTGTAAGGATGTGAGGGATTCCTATAAAAGGTTTTGTATTTAAAAATAACTTAGCTCTTGGAGGAAGGAAATTAATCCAAGGAAATAATTTACAGAATTCAGCGTCAGTGACAGTGAAGCCAGTTTCTCCACTGGATGGTTTTCATAGTGTTTTTTGTCTGTTCTGTTGAATAACATTTGGGAACAAAGAAAAGAAGATAGGCATGTGTGCATATGTGTGTGTACTTTATAATTTCTTTTGTTCACTTTGGGGCCACTGGCCACTCAATCACTATTTTATCTGCTTGCAGTGAAGTGGGAAGTCAGGGAGTATCAATTTAATTTATTAATTGACAAATTGTTAAATGTCTTGTACTGAGGGAGACCTGTAAGTGGCTGGGAGAAGGGAGGTGAAAAGTGATTATAAAACCACCTAAAGAAGCTGAAAGTTGAGTGGCGTGAAGTGATTGTCACCAACTTTGCTTTCTCTTTTCTAATTAAACTGCACTTTTACACTGATTAGTCATTTTTGTTTCTCTTCTTCAGGCTTTTTCCAATTTCTCTATTTAAAATTAAGGGATCAACATTAGTAACCAAAACTATACCGAACTTTAATGATACAGGTTTTTAGAGCTAAAGAGAGGTATCAGAAATCACATCTTTCCAGTCATTCAATCATTTAGCAGTTTTAATATTTGGAGAGATGAGATCTTGCAAGGGATTGGGTCCTGGGGTCCTGGGCCTAAGCAAAGGCGCTTTAGTGGAGGGGGCTAGCCTGGCGGGGGTTGCTCCCTGAGTCAGGCCGACTGCAAGACAGGGTCGGTAGGTTAATTCAGCTGCATGAGCATTTCATTTGTGAATTTCAAATATCATTCTAATTTAAAATCGACAAACATCCTTTCATGGAGTTATATAAGCCTGTCTGTGCATTCAACTTCTGGGTGTCATGAATTATTTCCTTTTCTGACCTCACTCAGCCCAGAGCAATTTTGCACATTCTTTTCTTTCTTTCTTTCTTTCTTTCTTTCTTTCTTTCTTTCTTTCTTTCTTTCTTTCTTTC